TGTAAATGGGATAGAGGTGGTTGAGGTGATGGAAGCAGAGAAGGCTTGGGAGAAGCGGACTGGTGTGTTGAAAGGCCTTGTTATTGGAATAGGAGTGTGGCTGGAGGAGAGGATGGAGTGAGGATGTGTAGGTACACACTGCGTGTGACAGAGGTGGAGTCAGAGACGAGATCGGAGTCGTAGGTGGAGGAGTGGAGTAGGGTGTAGTAGTAGTGGTGGTGGTAGTAGTAGGAGGAGGGGGTAGAGCTGAAGAGAGGGGGGAAGGTGGATGAGCAAGGAGAGGAGATGAGATGAGATGAGAGGAACGGAGATGGTGGGTACCTTCGATGTGGTAGACAAGGGAGGTGGTGAGAAGTCGTTTGGCAGGAACGAAGTCCTCTGACCTGTGACACTCGGTGAGCACAAAGACGACACGACTGAGTAGGGCCCGCAATCCGTTCTCGTCGAGACGTCCGCCTGAGTATGCACCCTGTGAAGGAAGGCGAGGGATAGAGGAATAGTGAGGCTGTGAAGCAGAGGAGTGGAGGAGAGGGAGAGGTAGTGGGAAGGAATGTGGAGAGATGGAAATGCAAGTGTGGGGGAATGGTGGTGGCACATGACGTCTGATCTTTCGACATACCAATGCGCATCCACATCCCACCCATGCCATATTCGATTCAACTTCGCCATTGCTTTGTCGGCGAACTGAGAACAACAAAGACGCAAACTGTGAGGTCTCGCACTGACGAAGTCACCGTGTCGCTGTTGCTGGGAAGCAGCGTTACAGTATCACAAATCTACTTATCTGAATGTGCTGACTGATTGACTTCTCCAACTTCTAATTACCACAAACTATCTTTTGGAGAGCATTGCTTTTGGTGCCTGCTACTGGTCTCCTCCTCCTCCTCCTCCTCCTCGCAGAGCCTTCTTCTTGCACCTATGCGTCGAAGTGATCCAGCTCAGCGTGACCACTTGAGAGGATGCCTTACCATCGTGCATACAAACCTCTCCAACAAATACTTGCCATTGTGTGGTTCTGCAATGGGAAGGAGGTGGCTTGGTAACACAATCACTGGTCACCTACCCGTTATGGCATGTCAGCCACGCAGTTCCACCTACATGCCCCGGTGACGTTCGCAATGAACTTCCTTCCACACAGGAAGACAGTGTCTTAGATCGGCAGCTACAACAACAATCCTTGTTAGCACCAACTACCCTCGCCACCGTCCCCTTCCCCCCAAATTCTGAATGATGACAAATGTAGTCTCAACTGCTCGTAATGCCACCTCATAATACC